TTCCTGTGCTGTATTGTTCTTTGTTCTAGCAGAGATGAAGAAGGGAATTTCTGTGAAGATGCAGAGGATATGGGAAAAATTTTCAATAATTTTTTTTGTCTCTGTATTCACAAAGGAAAGGGAAGATGTGCATATAGTAATTCAAGAGGAGCAGTATGAAATATTGGACAAAATAATTAAAATGAGAGGAAGTGGTAGAGCAGTTGGAATCCTTCGCAGTGGATAAGTTGCCAGGGCTGGATGGATTGTTCCCTCAGATGCTGAAGGAGGTCAGGGAGAAAATAGCAGAAGCTGTGAAGATTATTTTCCAATCTTCAGTAGACACAGGTGAGGTGTCGAAGAGGAGGCTTGCAAATGTCATTCTGTTGTTCTAAAAGCATATAAAGGAAATGCCAAACAATTATGGGTCAGTTAGTCTTACTTCAGTGGGGGGCAAATTGTTAGAATCAACCTTGAGGGATCGGGTAAACTATCACTTAGAAAGGCATAGACCAGTCAGGAATAGTTAGCATGGCTTTGGTAAGGAAGGTCATGCCTCACAAATTTGATTGAATTATTTCAGGGAGCGACGGGGAGAATCGATGAGCGTTGAGCAGTGGATGTTGTCTACATGGATTTTAGTAAGGGATTTGACAGGTCCCACATGGTAGACTAGTTAAAAAGAAAGACAATGGGATACAGAGTAATGTGTCAAACTGGATCTAAAGTTGGCTTAGCAACAGGAAACAAAAGAATGGTCAATGGCTGCCCTTGCGAATGGCTCAGTGTTGAGGCTCCTGCAGTTTGATTTACGTATTAATGATTTAGAATCATAGAGTAATACAGCATGGAAACAGGCCCTTCAGCCCAAACTGGTCCATGCTGACCATGATACCCACTCAGATAGTTCCAGCTGCCCACATTTGGTGCATATCCCTCTAAACCCTTCCCATCCATGTACCTATCCAAATGCTTTTTAAATGTTCCTATTGTAACATTTGAATGTAGAGGGCACAATTGAGAAAATTGCAGACGATACAAAAATTGGTTTTGTAGTGGATGGTGTAGTGGATAGCTGTAAGCTCCAAAATTATATGGATTGGTGGAGAGGGCAAGAAAGTGCCAGATGGAGCTTAACTCTGATAAGTATGAGATAATACATTTAGGGAGGTCAAACAGTAAAAGGGAATACACAATAAATGGGAATATACTGAGGGGGAGATGAAGTGAGAGATCTTGGCATGCAAGTGCACAGGTTCCTAAAGGTAACAGTACAGGTAGATAAAGTTCTAAAGAAGGCATATGGAATGCTCAGAGATAGTAAGAACTGCCGATGCTGGAGTCAGAGATAACACGGTGTTGAGCTGGAGGTACACAGCAGGCCAGGCAGCATCAGAGGAGCTGGAAAGCTGACATTTTGAGTCAGAACCCTTCCTCAGAAAAGGGGAACAGGGAAAGGAGCTGGGAAATAAAGAGAGAAAGGAGAGTTGGGGCTAGGGAAGGTAGATGGGATGGTGATGGGTGAGTGCAAGTAGGGAGTGGTGGGATTGGTCAGTGGGATGGGTGGGGTGGATAAATGGGATAGAAGATGGACAGGTTTTGTCAGGTCAAGGAGGCGGGGATGAGAGGGAGGGTTGGACATGGGATGAGGCCAAGGGTGGGGAGATTTTAAAACTGGAGAATTCTACGTTTAGGCCATTAGGCTGTAGGCTCCTGAGGTGGAATATGAGGTGTGCTTCCTCCAGTTTGTGTGTGGGGTCATTGTGACACTTGGGGAGGCCCAGGATGGACATGTCACCTAGAAATGGGAGGGGGGGTGGTTAAAATGGTTGGCTACTGGTAGGTGTTGACGTTTGTCGCGTACAGAGCGCAGATGCTCTACGAAATGATCTCCGAGTCTATGCTTGATCCCACTGATGGAGAGGAGGCCACATGGGGAGCAGTGGATACAGTAGACCAAGTTTATGGATGTGCAGGTGAACCTGTCTGATATGATTTACTAGAATGTTGCCAGGACTGGAGAATTGTACCTATAAGGAGAGATTGGAGAGGTGGGGCTGTTTTCCTTGGAACAGAGAGGCTGAGGGGGGTGCGACATGATTGAGGTATACAAAATTGTGAGGGGTAGAGACAGAATAAACAGGAGGAACCTGTATTCCTTGGCAGGAAATACACAAACCAGGGCTCATAGATTCAAGCTAAGTGGCAGAAAGGTTAGAGAAGATGTGAGTAAAATTTGTTAATGCAAAGGGTGGTGGGTGTCTGGAATTCATTACCAGAGTTGATTGTGGAGGCAGAGACCCTAAACTTCAAGATTCAAGATGGCGGCAGAGTTAGCAGGGCTGCATGCGGCTCTTGCCGGGGCTCAACTGCTCCTGCATGCTTTCTTTTTACTTCAGTTTTTTTTCTTCCTTTATTTTCTTTCATTTTTCTTTGGTGCCTTTTATGGCGGGTTAGTTGCTGAATTGGTGTGGCAGCTAGAGCAGGCAGTACATGGAATGGCAGCTCCTCTGGGCAGTCGGAGGCAGCGATGGAGACACCTCCTCATGGCGACTGGAGGTGATGGTAGCGGCAGCAGCAATAGAGATATCCTCCCAGCATTCGGGGCTGGCGGTGGCAAAGCTCCTCCAGCAATCAGAGAGGGCAGCAGAATTTTCAAGATGGCAGAGCCGCCAAGGAGACATCTCAGAGGAGAATGACCCGAGCAGATTCTTGGCAAGACAGCAGCAGTTTAGTAGTAGAGCCAGTGTCTCCTGGTTGCAGTAGGCCCAGAGCAGGGACTCCTAGCGTTGGTGAGGCAGCAGCTGCAGCATGGTGCACTCAGAGCCAGGACTCCTGGCATCGATGCAGCAGTGGAGTCAGGGTCTCCTAGTTGCGAGGCAAGTGTGGGTTCAGCACAGGACTCGGCATCAGTGGTGGGCCCAGTGGCAAAGAGATGGTGCCTAAAGGGGCAACTCCTACATTGGTGGGTCTGCTATAGATGGCAGTGAGGCAATGGAGCAGCATTGGTGGTGCAGATGTCATTGCTGAGCCAGCTGAGGTCTCTTTCAGTTATATCTTTTATCCTTTATATTCTTAAACTATTCTCTTTCAGTTATACCTTTTTATTATTTTGTCCTGCTACAGTCCAAAAGATGTGCAGGTTAGGCGGATTGGCTGTGCTAAATTGTCCATAATGTCCAGGGATGTGCAGGCTAGGTGGGTTAGCCATGGGAAATGCAGGGTTACAAGGATAGGGTGGGTCTGGGTGGGATGCTCTTCGGAAGATCGGCATGGATTCAATGGGCCAAATGGCCTGCTTCCACACTGTAGGATTTCTATGAATCTTAAACAGTTCAAACTGGCAACAGATTGTGGCAACTGTTTAAGTTTTTCATTGTATTTTACTGTATTATTCTCTGTAAAATGCAGGTGACAATAAATACATCACTCTTAAAAAATACCTGGATCTGCACCTTAAGTGCTGTAAGCTGCAGGGCTTCAGGCCGTGTGCAGGATGATGGGATTAGAAAGGGCATTTAGGTGCCTTTGGGTGAGTATGGACTAGACGGGCTGAATATCCATCTTCTGTGTTGTATCGTTTCTCTGGTTCTATGAATTATAAATAGTTGGGGCCTGAGAACCAGAAAAAAACCCAATATCCAGATTCTTTGCTTTCTGTTGGTTAGCTGATCTTTTATCTAACCTAATAAATTACCCCTAACCCCATGTGACTTTACCCTGTGTATTAACCTTTTGCACAGCACCTTATCAAATGCCTCTGGAAGTTCAGATGTAATACATCTACAGGGCTCATTATATCTTTAAAGAATTCCAGCAAATTAGTCAAACATGACTAACCCTTCATAAAACCATGCTAACTGATGGATTATATTTTGACTTTCCAAATGTCCTGTTATTACTTCCTTAATAATATATTCTAACAATTTCCTAATGACACATTAGACTGGCTGATCTGTAGTTTCCTACCTTCTGCCTCCTTCCCTTTTTGAATAAATGTGTCACATGAATATTTTTCCAAGTTTACTGGAACTTTTTGGTGTGAACGGTCCTTAACATGACGAGAAGGGTAAACATAGGAGGAATATTCCCAATGAAAAGGAAGTCCAGAACCAGGGATCAGTTTAAGGAAATTTGGGTAGGCCTGTTTAGGGCTGAGATGAGGAAACATTTCTTCGCCCAGAGAGTGGTAAGCCTGTGGAATTCTGTGACAGAAAGCAGCTGAAGCGAAAACATATAATGTTACCAAAGAGTTAGAGAGTTCTTTGTGCTAAATGGGCATGGGATGAAAGCAGGAACAGGGCATCAAGTTGGATGATCATTCATGATCGTACTGTACGGTGAATGGTGCAGCTTGGTACTGTGTTTCTGCAGCGAATGGTGCAGCTTGATGCTGTGTGTGTTGGGCAGTGAATGGTGTGG